TTCTTATATAAATATGTACATACCTGTTTAGAATATCAGCAACATGTCCATACATGATCTGATGCTTTCACAGCAGCTGCATGCAACAAAAGCTACTAAGGCAATCGGCAGTGTCAAAACGGAATTAGTATCAAACGTTTTCGAGACTGTCTCTTTCTCCACCATCAGAGGCCAATGTGATGTGTGGCACTGCTGCATGTTACAGTTATATCCAAAGAGTTTGCTCTCAAAGCCCAGTGTCCCTCCAAAGAGTATTCTGTTGGAGACAGGACACCTGAACCTAATATCATACTCTCTGTGTGTGTGAATACAATACACAGCTACATTCATCATAACATCAAATCCTGATGATGGAAGCAGAAACAGCCTCCTAAACGCTAGATATTAACTCCATTTTCATACAAATGAACATCTGAGATGATACAGTATGTCCATCTTAAACAGAAATACTGCAGAGGTGTGAACTGCTATAGATCATCACCAGTGATTTTAGGATCAAGAACATTCACACAGTAAGCTGCATAGTTTTTTAAAAATACTTTATATATATATATTTGCAAATTATTTTTATCTCATTATGTAAAATAGATCCATTATGAGAAGGTCATGTCTGTCAATTTGTCCACATATTCATGCACTTATTCTCCCAAACCACTGAAGGGGATTTTAAAAACATTTGGTACAGGGGTATAAAACTGTCATGAAATTTTGTTTCAATATTAATCAATTACAACCACTACTTTAAATGAGAGCCAGAGTAAACTTAATAATTTTTACAAGATTTGAGGTTTTCACAGCAGTGACTGTTCATATGGGGGTCTTCCAGGGTGACACCTTGTACAGTGCAATAAGTAGGTACAGACACATGGGAAATCTTGTTGCGTCTTCATCTCCTGGATCAAAATGGCCCTGGAGATGAAGTCCCTCCAAAAGACTGGAACCCACCTACAAGACTACACGGTGTCACAACCCAGGAAACCACAACATGAATTTATCAAATTAGATTAAACAGTTCATCATGCATAAATAAAATATATACCTGTAGGATTCTTATGATTTACAACTTTCATTTGGAACATTAAATTTGAGGTTATCACAGGTGACTATGAAGTGTACAACTTCTGAGATGTGACACTGTGCAGTCTGGTAGAAGTTCACTGACATTTCACTTGAACATCACTGAACATCTACCAGACTACATGGTGTCACACCTCCATCTGAACCATTTCTCATGGTCATGAATATTAAGAGTGCTCTCTTCTGGCATGTCTGCCATATAGTTTGGTATATATCGTGGCATGTCTGCAGAAAGTCCCAATCTATATCCCATCTATAGTCATTCTATCATGTGACAATATGTATTAACATCACAAAGGAATCTGCTGCCTCCATCTTCAGGGTTGAAAATGGAAGTAGTAGGTTCCTCTACAACATAGGTACAGATCTGCAAATGCCCTCATACCCCAGATCATTGTAATTTTACTTTCTGTATTTGGTTACATTTAACAAAATAGGAAAGAATAAATTAGAAGTCGGTCACCATGAGCTGGGACAGCTCAGTCAACTGCAGTCAGACAAAGGGCTCACCCATGCTCCTACACAATGTTACTTTGGAATCTCTCAAGGGGGTTAAAGTGGCTGGAGCATCACACACACCGCACTGAGATTAACACTACATCAACAAACATTATCTCCCCATTCCATACACAACTTCACAGCATGCTGTTTCATCATAGGCACCCTTATCTTTACTATTCTCTCCCCCCCCCTCCCCCTTCTCTCCTGTCAGTTATAGTTTACAGTTTTATCTGCCATGTCAACCTTACCTTCAAGTAGTACATGATTCTTACAGGTACAGTTATGGCAAGTGAGAGCTCACTGCACAATCATCTGATTCCAGACAGAAGCCATGCCACACAAAAATCTCTCTGAATTAAGACTTTAAGGCACAATGGTAACCACTTGAACTGTTGCTTTAAAATTTTAAATAAAAAAAAAACTGCATTTTCCCCACTCCCTGTATTTATGGATTTCATATGATTCTCAGAATATTCAGTGATTATTTCCTTATATAGCATTAACCGGTTGGTCTCTGTATAGAGATAATGGCATACTTTGTATTCTGTGGGGCAGGGGGGAGGGATTGAAATTTTAAATATTATTTAGATAAACTTCAGAATTCAAGAAATAAAGGCAATCACATTACCAGACTACTCACTGACATGTCAGCAAACTGTAGCGGGAAATCTACTGCTGTTTCTAAGCCTCAAAGGTTTAGAAATCAAAAACTAATGAACCCTAGACTGTGAATGTTGAAATTACAAGGTGCTGAAGCATCTGTCACCATTATGGGTCGTTCTGATTTGTGTTGCTTTTCTTACCCTTTGTCCACTCATGCAGATCAGCTGGCTAAGTGTACTGTTTTAATGCTAATATTGTTACCGTTGTGTTGAAGTTCAGCCAAAAGCCATTAGTTCTGGGGGATTTCAAACCCTGTTCCAAAACAATGAAAGCTAAGGTATTATATAAGCAAATGGCTGGAGGAACAGAGGGAACTCAGGAAAAGTCTCAAGAACAACAGTCAAAGTTCAGGCAAAGGGTTGAACCCAGAATATCTCAAATATGAAGTCCAGGAAAAGATCTGAACCCCGAATTTCTCAAATATGAAACAGGAGTGTGAATTACTCAACTGTGGTATTCAAAACTATGACAGAGAAGGCAGAATATTAAAATGACAGGGAAAGAGGTTATGAGAACTGAAATGAGCTCGCTCAAGATCTTATCCGATCGCTGATTCTGGTATTACAGGAATTGAAGTCAGTACCAAAAAATCTGGGTTGACAACTACCTTCTCACCTCATATTTGGTGGGGGAAATGCCTGGGCATCACACAACAACGCGATGGCATTCTTGTGAAAGGTTCTCTGTTTGTTCAGTCCATCTCCAGTTACCTTGGGTGAGGTGCGGCCTGTTGGTTCTGAAAACCAGCATTTTGAACTGTCTACTTGCCTCCATGTTGCACTATGTTAATCTCAGCCTTGCCTTGGCACTAAGCACCCATAAATTTAGCTGGTGATTAAGATTTCAGTTTCCCGGGATGCAGCACCCAGTAACTTGGTAGATAATTGTCAATGTTATGCAACATACATCTTCATCCTGAAACTATTCCCCCATTATGTTGGAACTGATCATCTGAACTACATGGTATCGCATCCCAACAGATCATAAGCTTAACCCCTTGCATGCCACGAAGCGATTGGTTCAGCTTGGCATACAACTAACATAACCAGAGACATCAGATTAATGTTAATCATGTAGTACAGCATTTCTGACACCACATGGGAGCAAGAGCAATATACTGGCACTTAGAGAGAAGAAGAGAATTTTAAACTATTGATACCTTTGGTCATTTGAAGGCAATTTAACAAAGTATTGTGGATTTCTGTGCAACTGCATTTACACCCAAGTAGCTTCTAGCAAGATATATCCATTGAGGGAGGAAGAATTGGTCTTTAAAGGATTAATACTCATTGCCATGGAAACCTCAACTCTCATTCCTTAGTGATATACTCCTCATGTGACCTGGTAGCTCTAACATTCTAATACATGTGCACATACATATACTACCATAGTCAATAAGTTCGTAGACTGGCTGCAAAGCGTCGATACAGTGCATTACAGCAGATAGGTTGAGACACGATATGATGCCCTGTCAGTTCATCTCTCGTCACAGCGAGAGGTAGTTGTGTGCAAACAGTCTAAACAGAACTATGGCCTCTATTGTGAACTGCAGTTAAATTTGAGTAGCGGAAATCGAAAATGTGGCAGTTTGAACAACGGGCAAACATAAAGTTCTGCCAAAAATTAGGCAAATTCCCCCTTAACATTACGAACTGGCTGTTGCTACATGACAACGCCCCTGCACATCACTCTGTTCTTGTCCAAGAGGAACTGGCAAGGCAACAGGCCACCGTTTTGCCATACCCTCTATGCTCACCTGATCTCGCACCATGCGATTTCTTTCTCTTTCACCGCTTGAAAGCAAAGCTATGTGGTCATAGATTTAAGTTGTCCAAGGAGGTCGTGAATGACACAAGAGACACCATACGGGAATTTCTCACCAATATTTTTCAGCAATGTTTTCGGCAGCTATATCAAAGTTGACAGACTTGCACAGTGCCCAACGGCGACTATTTTAAGAGCCAATGTGGATTTGCATAAGTGTATGTGAATATCTTGTAATATAATGCGATAAAACCACAGTCCATGAACTTAATGGCTGTACCACATATATATATATATACAAGTGCATACATGACAGAGTCTATTTTTAAATATTTAATGGCTCTTTATCAGCTGCACAGGTTATTATTTATGATAATGATTCTGCCTGAATCTCATACTGTAATTATTTAGTGTCAAACAGCAGGATGATCAGTGTGGCACTCAGTTCAAATCTCTGTCAAAACAACAGCTACCCTGACTGAAGGCTTTCAAGGTTTTCTTCAGTTCCTCCAGCACAATTCTTGGGACAGTACCTTGGTTCAACATAGGCCACTTCTTTCCCAATTCTCTGCAATTCATGTAGCGTATCATTTGATGCTACGTAGGCTGGCTACCCCCCTTCTTAGAATAGCCTCCAAGAAAAAGACATGACCTGTCATCTGAGAAGATTTATCAGTGCATATGCAATTTTCATTCACTGAAGCTGATAGGGGGCCACTGAATAAACCAAGAATCAATTATACACTGATAACAATTCTGGCAACATCTTGCAGAAATGATGGTGCCATGTCACAGTAAACATGAGAATCAGTCACACCAGAAAACTTTGTTTACTCTCACATACCTAAAGATGGGGACAGGATAACCTGGCACGTCACAGAGTACCATGGCGGTACAAGACCCAACTATGTCCAACATGAAAGTGCCCTCTATCTTGCGTCCCACGAGACGCGGTGGGATATTGTTAGTTGGTTCTGTGGAGAATTGGAACTCACCGGAACATAGGGACGGGGTACCCAACAACTTGACATGTCAGAAAGGCAACTTCTCCCACGAATGGAGTTACCATCTCACCACCATAAAATTTCTTCCCTCCAGCAGGAGACTTTGGGGCTATGTTACTTGTAGGCTCTGAAATAAGTTCACGAAACTTACCGAAACAATGGAACAGGAAACCCCACTACTTGGCAGCTCATAAAGACCCTCTGTCCAGCTGGAGAATACATAATTTCTCCTCCTTCGTATTTCTTGCCAGGTGATTTTGGGGCTATGTTACTTGTTGGCTCTGAAATAGGTTTTTTAAACTTACCAAAAATCTGAGATTGGAAACCCCATACAACTGGAGAATTCGTACTCCTCCCCCCATTCAAACTTCTTGCCAGGGAGTCTTCAGGCTATGTTACTTGCAGGCAGGGTAAGTGTGTAAGCATTTACATACCTGAGAGATCCGTGGTTCTCAAGATGGCAGCCATCAAGTTTACAGCCTTCTGGGATATGACACACTTTAATTTAGTAAATTAGTACAAACCTTTTGAAGGAACCTGATGCCTCTATCTTTACCCTATAAGAAGTCAAGGAAGTAAAAGAGTATGAGACACAGAGAAAGGGGTGTTTCGATGGGGCTCTAAATAGTCCAATGAGAATGAATGGCCTTGAAAGAAACACATGATGTGTAACTTCACACCCCTTCTTAGGAACATGTGTGACTCAGAGCTCTATTCCAATTCTCCCTTCCATGTTTTAAATATATGTTTTTCCCCCACTGAGCACTTCTTCCCTGAAGATGGAGACAGCAGGTACCTCTGCAATGATGGTACCCATCTGAATACACAATGTCACACCTCAGAAGACTGTAATCTCACTCACTATGTAATTATTTTCTTGCCAGATGAAATTACTTGTTATGAAATGTGAAACACTTCAGTTTAATATCTATGTGCTGGGTTTTTCCTTTGTGTGCGATCACACATCATTACCTGAACACAGGAACTGGCGATGCTTGAGCAAGGCACAACAGGGATATGGCGGATCTTTGGGATGTCACTTCTCTCTTAGAGCCAACCTTACTGTCCTTCAGTGTTGGAGCCACACTAGTCTGAGGCTCTGTACGTTCATACAACAAAACACGAGTTCGTCAGTGATGCAAGAAAGAAACGTTCCATAAGGGACAGTGTTTTTATATTTCTGTGCTATGACAATGTATGTCCATCAATTTAAGAACAATTTTAACCATCTGACGTCTGATATACATCAAAATTATATATACGAAAATGCAGTTCCTACCTCACAGAAAGCATACTGCATTCTGTTACAAATACCAATTACTTAATGTTTAGGAAAATCATCACTTACTATGAGAATCATATGAAACATATATATACACCGTGTGGTACAAATGCATTGTTGGGTGGCCCTGGGTTCGAAAGTGAGCCCAGAGACTTGTTATCCTGACCAAATTTCTCCAAGGTTCCCTAGTCTGTCAATCAGATAAATGCTGGGATATGAACATGTAATTTCAGATCCTTTTCAATTAGTATTTCACACAAACATCCCTCCATTCATAGTAACATAACCTATGAATTAAATTAAAAATAAAAGAAATAAATTATTTTAATGATATGTTGCATCTGGTTCTTCAAATAAATGTCTCCTTTTGTTACAAAATGATATGACATGAGGGCTAGGAACGGATTTCTAGCACTTCTGATGTGTTCCCACAATAATCCTTTCTGTGTTTGAGCATCAGGCATATTTTTCACTGATGTGATTTCAATAAATTTCATGTGTGTGAGAATATGGAGTGATGAGAGGAAACCAATGTCAGCAAAAATGCATTTCATGACAACTGCAACATACATTTACATGGGACATAAGAGACACAAATAAATTATGAGCTAACCTCAAATTCCATAGATTCCAGAATTTACAAACTACAGAAGAAACTGGAAAGAACAAATTAACAGAACAGGATCAGAAAGGATAAAAAAAATTACATCCCCAATAGAAAATAAAAGAAGATCGAGAAGATTGCTGAAATGTTCAAAGGATTCTATTCTCTAATACCCATAACAGGTCTCAGTAGGCCTAATATTGGAAAGGATGGTGATGATAATGAACGGTGATGACATGTATGACTCATTCCAAATTCTGAGCTTAAGAGGTTATGTTGACTAATTTAATAACTGATTCAAGTATGTAATGAACCAATGTCAACAGAGCAGTGGTTAGCAATGGTGCTTCAGTATCAGTCCAGAGATCAGATATCTTCAATGAATATTTCCACAGTTTTCCATGGTCCTTGCACATAAGTGATGCAATATATATTAAGACCATTCTTTCTAAATCTTTCAAATTGATCATTTACAATCATCCTGCCATCAGGCAACACATAATCTAAGCTAGTGCACAAGTGTTGTTAAATAAACCAAAAACAACATAGTGTAGGGAGATCTGAGCTTGTCACTGAGGTGAATATCAAGATTTGAGTCTTCCAAGATTCAAAGCCTTGCAGGTTGGTAGACAGGTACCAATGCTTTGCATGAACCTGGTGCTTTCAGCAAACCTCAAGATGAAGACAACAGGTTCCTCCAAAACAATGGTGTGTATCTACCAGCCTATGCAGTTCTATATTCCTCAAGACTGTAATCTTGCACTAAAACAAAATCCAACTATCTAAACAGTAACACTGGGAATACTAACATTCTGAACAAGTACTTACAATTACCTGAACATTGGTATTGGGAAACCCTGAACCATGCATGTCAACACAATCTTCCCACCAACCAGTGACTGAGCCTTTACCCCAGTAAACTGACCATCTTTCAGTTTTGGGGCAACACTTGCAGATGGTTCTGAAAAGTGAGTGACAAATTTCCTGTACAGAGATAATGGAGAAGAGACTGCAGCCTAGTTTGTTAGTTTCAGAAAACTTGAAGCAGCTGGAACCTGAAAGGAGGGCTCAACATTTTAAATAATCTGACAATACCTGAATGAGGGGGTAGAACTATGTGACTGCAAAAAGCCATCCCTGTAACAGGACATGGAGGTCCACAGAGGTTTGTGAGATGTAGAGGCTCCCACATTTTCTAGAGAATCGACTCACAGATGGTGGTAAGTTGTCAGCCTTACGCGTCAACCGCACTTTACCCGCAAGAAGATTCCTGGTACTCATTTCTGTTAGAGGCTGAGTCAACCCCAGGGCCAAAGTGCGGCTGGAAGGATTAAGTCAATTGAATAATCCAATGACCCCATCGGGAATCAAATCCGCAACCTTCTGGCTAGTAACATAATGCCTCACCCAACTACACTGTGTCTGTGACTGTAACTGAAAATATTTCAGAAGATAGTAGTCTTCAAGTCAATGCTGTGAGATCCTCAAATACAGCGAAAATGCCGTTCTCCAGCCTTTGGGGGTAAGTGCCTCTCACCTATTCCAGTTCATAATGAACTTCTGAAGGTATGTATTTTAAAGACATTGGAAAGACTGCTTAGATGGGGTATCAGCCCACTGAAAGGCCACATAAAAACACAACATAGAGAAAACACGGACATATATCCATGCCACAAACAGGATTTTAACAAATGAATCCAGTGTTCAAGCAGTCAAAGACTGTACATGCCTTAGACTGTGAGTGGCATGTGACTGAATGTTATTTATCTTACATACTCTTAGCACAGAACATTTCAGTTTGTAATTTTTCCTTTTTCTTCTTCCTTGGTGCTAGAGCCTGATTTGAGCATCACCCTGCACAGCTGGTACAACCTAAATCCTATTCAGGCATCTGGCAATTTACCAAATATAGGGACTATTACTTCAGGACACACTTTAGAAAACATAAACAAACAAATATGTTTGCTCTGAACAGGATCCAACTCCATGGTTACAGTGTGTCAGAGGTCAAGCCTACTTGGCCACCAAGATGAAGATCATCATCATCATCATCATCATCATGAATTAATATATAAATCATTAAGATAAATTAATTATGAAATAACACTCAATTCAGTTTGAAATTCTGATCACTATCGGATACAGAAAATTTCAAATATTTTGTCTGAATCACAAAGAAAATTGGCTCAATCTTAATACATTTCACCAGTATCTGAGAGGCACAAATTTCCAAGCCTCAGATGGGGCTGTCTCACTGACTGAAGTTGTTGTCCCTTTCTTCATGCAAATTCCAAAATAGTACCTTGAAAGGCATGGCCATTTCCACGTTCATCTTCCTTTATAGCTCACTGAATATAATCATATTCTCACATAATCTGACCCTAAATAACCTCTGTAACTGGAACAGTGTCCTTAACTTATCTATGAACCAATCCAAGTAACCAAGAAACTGGAAACAGCACATTTAAATTATATATTAGCTCAAAAACAAACCATAAATCTAACAATAAGTTGACTGACCTGGACATGAAAACCCATGAACCTTTCCAACAGAAATGGGATCCTCAAACAATATACTACCCAAACAAAGAAACTGTGAATCCTGGAGCAATATGCTTACCTTTTCAATGGAAATGGGTATCTTCAAACAATACTCTAATGAGAAAAACAGAAATGGGAATATTTGAAAATACTCTTACCTTTTCAATGGTAAATGGAACCCTCAAACAATACATTACAAGAATACTGGAAATGGGAATCCTTGAACAACACTACAAGGATACTGGAAATGGGAATACTTGAACACACTACAAGGATACTGGATACTGGAAATGGGAATACTTGAACAACACTACAAGGATACTGGAAATGGGAATCATTGAACAACACACTACCTAGAAACAATGGATTAACATACTGCATGAATACTGCAATTGCTAATCATTGAACAACACTCTACCTGAACAATGGAATTCAGACTCCTTCAATAATACACTATGTGGTAACCTTTAGTCACTGAATGGATTGAATACAGAAACTGCTAATCCTTGAGCAATCCACTACCTAAACAATGAATGGAACTGGGAATGCCTCAACAATGCATAATACCGTAACTGTCACGTGGATTGCAGTCTGTATTTTCGCACCTGTGATGTGCCCATCTTTAACTTTTGGGGCCACACATATCTGTGGTTCTGCAAGGTCATAACAACATCCAAATGGAGTTCTAATGCGTGTACTA